AAATTGATAAATTTTTTAATTTTCGTGATATCACAGTGTCATATAACGTATACGAAAAAGAATTTAATGTGATAAAAAAGAAAGACGCGGAGTTTCATGATAGAAACGACAGGAGAAAAATAGTATTATGAAAGAATCAAGAAAAGAATAACGAGAAAAGTCGATGAAAGTAAATGCAGAGACAAGAGGAATGATAGATAATTATACTATATATACACACGCACACACACACACACACACATTTTATATATGTTAAAGAAAGGAATGGAAAGGAAAGAAAGAAAAAGAGAGTACTAACAATATGGCCACCTTACAGAGAAACTAGCGCCGCCTAGCAGATTTTTCTATTCCCGCCGTGAAATAGTTGCAATATATAAATTTTTTTTTTTGTTAAAAATATTAGACAAATTTATAAAAATTTGTATGTTTATAAACATTACAAAAATTTTAAAATTATTTCATAATTTGTGATTTATAGTTTTGATATAATATGACAATATTTTATAATATAGTTCAATGATTATTTAATTAGAAAAAATTTAAAACATATATAATATTATTAATTGATATTGTTAATCTTTGAATGAAATATATATTATTATTACTAAAAATAAATACTATATGTATTTATTACAAATTAATTTTATATTTCATATTATTAAAATAAATATGCTATAAAACAATTATTTTCAAGAACCTTATCATTTATTTACTTATTTTTCTTATTTTTTTCTCTAATAACTGTACAGATATAATTGCAAAATCATCGATTATTAATTAATAAATCTGTAGAATAAAATAAAAACGAATTCAAATTCATTTTTTATATATTTATAAAAATTTTTTTAGTGAATAAATATAATAATTTATAAAATATATGATTAACATTATATATCTAAATAAAATCGAACATAATTTGCTTAATAAATTATGTAAAAAAAAATTCAATAATTCAATTTATAACTAACATAAGAAATTAAAAAATAATCATTCAAAAAATTCTAAAAACGTAAGAAAAAAAGAAATAAAAAATATAGGATAAATATTTAAATATTCCACGAAAATTAATAATCACATAATTTTAAAGTAGTATGTGTATGATGTGGTTGACCTGTACTCACTCACCATTTTACTAATCATTGTTGCCACCATTCAGAAACAAAAATTGCAGCTAACAAATACGTTTTAAATTTTGTATTATTATAAAAAAACAATAAAAAAAATGTAATCGAAATCAATTTAAGTTGCCGAAATTGAAGTTTCGCGACATTAAAATTTTTTTTTATTAATTATGATATAATAATATGTGTCATGAAATATAATAAATATCAATAAAATTACGAAAAAAATTTTAACAATAATATTGTTTTATATTTTCAAAAACAATTTGTAAAAAAACACAAAATACATGATAATTTGAATGTCAAAAACGACTCATAATATGAACAGAATGTAACATTATACCTATTTATCGTATTACAATTCTATTAAATTTTTAATATTTGTCATTCCAACTACAATTTTCTGATTATTTGAAGTAACAGAAATTGATAAAAATGTATTGCTTACCTTAATATGACAGGAATACAGAAGCTCACTTTAAACTTGGATGTAAACACAAGCATTTTTTAGTGGAATTGACACCAGGGCAGCTTAAATAATATACGAAAAAACACTCTTTACATCGCGGAAAACGTTATTTCACTATTCGAGATTTTATTACGTTATTAAATACCACAATAAATATGAGAATTCACGATCTCTTCGGAAAACATCCATCGAAAACTAAAGATGGCAGCCATTCTTCTGTACAAAACAAAGGTTCACATCCACGGACTCGCAAGCAATGAAGCCTCGAACCCAGATAACTTCCGGCGCTGCCATCAACCCGCCATTTTCAATTATTCGAAAATACATAGACTTGTTTTCTATAAGTGTATAATACAATTCAATTTAAAACTTTAATTACGTTACTTGATCTCTATAAATTTATCGTTTTAACATTTATTTATGAAAACTAAAAATATATCTTTTTTTTGTTGAAATAATAAATTTGTGATATTAATATGAAATACTACTGGTAGCTGGCGCTTATATCGAATCTTCAATGCAAAATGCCATCTAGTTTAAAGTATATGAATAAACTTTCTGCTGCCAACTTCAAGAGAAATAGAATAAGTATTTTATATTCATCTCTTTTGCTTAATTAAAAAAAAAATAAATAAAGATTAAAAGATTTATTTCGTATCAATTAGAACATATTTCATAATAAATCATTTAATATTCAATTGTTTCAATTTTCTTGAAATATCATTTTTATTACAATATTTCAATAGAAATCGACTGACATTTAAATAATTATTGACATAAACGTCAGTAAGAAAGTTGGTAGTATTTGTCAAGCTTGTATGATATAAAAATTCTATGATCGCTGTAGCTTAGATTATTGATTTCTAAATATATAACATATGTTTTAAGAAGACAATATTTAAAATGTAATCTGTAAAAATATTTAAATAAAAAATATTTTGTGTGACGATAATTTTTGAATTTTTATGAAATTTTTTGAAATTTTTTAAAAATATATTTATATTTTATAAATACAAATATTATTCTACATATCATCAATCTACATACTTTAATAATAACAAAATAGAAAGACAAAAAATAATAAATAAAAAGAAAAATTTTTATATTGATAATATATATTAGAAATAAATTAGATTTTTATTTAATGGAATATCATTTTAATATCAAAATGAATTAATAGAAATGCTATTTTATTTTAATTTATTAATTATTATCAATGAAAGATAAAAAATTGTTGAAATTAGAATTATATTTAATAAATAATAATATTAAAAATCATTATAAATAGAATCATTTTTTTTTTTAGTATTTGGAAATGGCAGACACTGATCCACAATTAAAACGGCTTTTACTTCCAGCAGAAGAAACTTTATTTGAACAATTGTTAAGATTTGGGCTATATATTGGTGCAATATTCCAAGTTATATGTTTATTAGCAATAATAGTTTATCAAGTAGGCCCTTCTGATGGTATAGGTGCTTTGAAGGTATTAATTTTTTTTTATAGTAAATTTAATTGATTTACAAATATTATTATGTATTAATTACAGGATGATCCAAGTGATGTTGAATGTTCAGAAAATAGTCCTCAGGTTACTCCAAGAAGACCTCATAGACCACGAAAACAAGAAAAAAAGAAAAGACGTTGAATTATTTTCTTGTTTATTTATTATATTTTGTTAAAAAATATTATATTATTTAATAATTTTAAAAACTAATATTAGATATTAGATGTTATTTGTATAATTTATTATTTAGATTAAATCAGTATCAATAACATCTTAAATATTTAACAATATTTTAAAATATAAATTAATTATAATTGTTTTTGAAGAAATATATATTGTTTTAATAAAAATTTATTGATATAATTTTATCTATTTTTTGTAATTTTATCTATTTTTAATTTTTCTAAAATTGTAAACATAATATTTTAAAATTTTTTTAATACATATAGATATATTAGTAAATATTATTTTAATATATATTTATTCATTACCATAAAATCATTTTTATTGAAAAAAATTAAGAAAAAAAGTTAATTATAAAATAATAAAATTATTTATATTCCAATATTATTTTCCAAAAAAAATATCCAAAAAAAGATAAAAATTAAAAAAATATATTAATAATAGAAATAAATATAAACAATTTAACATTTTTACATTTCATTTTTTTTCGTATTAAAATATGTTACAATTATATACAATTATAAACTAATACATGACTTTTTATATTTTTTATGAAATATTTTTCTATTTATCTAAATTTAAAATTTCAATAAAAGAACGATCATTTTATGTATCATAATATACGCGATCTGTAGGTAACAAGTAGAAACATTATTTGAAGAATGAAAAAACGTGTATTATATTTTAAGTTTATTAAATATTTTCACACATTTATTTATATTTATATCTTTTAATTTCCTAATTTTTTTAATATATAATAATAATAATAATAACAATAATAATAATAATTACAAGAAATATTGCAATTACAATGAATTGGTTTTATAATTATGTTTAACCTAAAATTTAAGAAAAGTAAAAGAAAATGCTGTATTTTTTAAATTACGTTTATTAATAGACCAAAATTAAGATGTTACATCCAACCGGAACATTATCGCCACAAGATATTTTGGCAGAAGTTAGAAAATTTATTTCTGGGGCAGTTCGCCCAACTCATAGCACAAGCACACTTGATATAACGCGAACAGCTTTATCTTTACTTCGAAATGTACCTGCTGCAAGAGATGCAGTACTTGAATATTTTTGCAACGTGTTTTTTGTTGCAGTTACCAAATATGTTCGCCAAATCGAAGTAAGTAAGTATTTAATAATATATCATAAAATATATGATTTAATTAAAAGTTCTAATATAAATTTTGTTATCTTTTTAGACAAATCAAAATTTAGCAATATGTGAGGAAACTATAATAGCAGAAATTCACAATGTTTTAAGTAGTTTTATTAATGGAAATCCAGAAGCATGGGCACCAATTATTTCAGCATGGTCATTAGAATTATTAGGTATGTAATTATTAAGATATTATAAATCAAATTGTTATAATAAATATTAAATTTTTTGCAGGTAAACTTTCTTCAGATTATGCAAAACGTGGAAATTTACCTGTGAATGCTGGAATTAATGATTTTCTTCAACAATGGATGTCTTGTTGCGCCACACGTACTCTGATTGATATCACAGCACAATGTCTTCAATGTCTTATGCATTCAGATACAGAATCTTGTATTAAAGCACTATTAGATACTAGTGTATTACATAGTCCTCATTTTGATTGGGTAGTAGCTCATGTTGGAAGTTGTTTTCCAAATACAGTTATTACCAGAGTATTGTCATGTGGTCTAAAAGATTTTTGTGCAATAGGACATGAACATAATGTTAAAAATCCTAAATTGAATTCAGTAGTTGGAATTTTGGGACATTTGGCTGGTAGTCATTTTCAAGATATTACAACAGCTTTATTAGATTTATTCAAAGTAAAAATTGTGTTAAGTGCTAACATTAACTGAAAAAATTTTTCTCAAAATATATTTAATAATATTAATAATAATATTATTTTTAGTGGAGCCTAGAAGAAGATGTAAATATTGATGAGGATACAAAAAATCAAAAATTGGCTACTGTTCCATTTCTTCTAAATCTAGCATCTCTTTCACAAACTCTTTTAAAAGCAATAACAAGTGATGTATTACAAACATGTAAGTAAATATATTTTATGATAAAAGAAATAAAATTTAATTTATCTATTTTGTTACAGTAAAACCAGATATAATTCCACAATTAGCATTATTTGCATTAGATTGGTGTAAATACTTTGATAATCAACCAGAAGCTTTGATAGATTTAACTGTTCATTTGATATTAGGATGTGAACAAGGAGCATCTCAGATAATAAATATTTTACTAGATACTAGTTTAAATACAAGCAATGTTGGGTATCATAGCATTAATGCTGCTCAAAGTGTAAAAAACGTATGTTCTGAAATATTAGAATTGGTATTACAAGAAATCGATTTACGTTTGAGAACACATGGACCACAATGTGCAAATATTTCCTTATTAAATTCTATGAAACAAGAATTGCCAGTGATATTACCATTGTTATTAAATCAAAATTCATTACGTGTACAAACAGCTGTACGATTGCTATGTTTTCTTGGAAGCCAAAGTCCTAATATTTTAATATCTGCAGCATCATATATGTTAGTCAAAGCTGTAACTACTTTTCATCTTGCGGCTTTGATACGGTTAGTTTCTAATAATATCGTTCTATTTTCCTCTAATAAATCTGAAACTGAGAATGTATTAGCTAGTTATAGCTATTTTACACAAGTTGTGGAACAAGCACTTCGAGAAATAAATTATAAAAATGTTATAGAGAAACAAGAAACAAGACAGCTTTTTCAAAATCTTACAATATTACTAAAGTAAGTATATAATTAAAAAAAGAATTATATTTCTTACATATTTATATGATTTTTCTTTTATAGATGGGAAAAATCTAATAAGGTAGTAGTATTTCGATCAAAAATGATAACTCACGCTATAAAATCTAATTTACACCAAATTTCTACTCTATTAACTAAAACAACAGATTTTAATTTAGCTAATGATATTGCTAAAATGTTAGATTTATTTAGTATGTCTGAAAAAGATAATTTTATGCCAAATGTAGAACTTACTTTAAAATTAACAAGAGCTATAATTCAATATTTCTTTTTATGTATAGCAGAAAATGGTAATTAAAAAATAACTTTTATTTTTTTCAAAAAAATTTTTAGGTAGACTTGATAAAATTTTTTATTTTAGATATTACAAAAAAACAACAGGGTATGAAAATCATTTGTCATTTATTAAAAGATTTAACTTTTTATTCATCTTGTGCTCGAGTTTTAGCTTTAAGAGAAATTTTGGGACATAGTATCAATAATGATCCTGCAAAATATTTTGGAGCAAAAGAAAAATTCGAACCAAAATTTGAGGAAATATTACTTTTACATCAAAACCATAAACAGGTAAAAAATAAAAAATTATTAATAAAATTATTAAGAATTACATAAATTTTATTTTATTTAGGTTACAAGTACGATGTTAGCTCAAAAACATTCTTCGGTATTTCATGCTGGCGTAATTGGACATGGTCCTAGAAGACCACCACCAGAAAATACAATTGATAAAGAAATTATTGCTTTAAATAAAATATTGCT